GGCCCCGTGCCTCTGTCTGTCTTCAGCAGCGGCCACTGGTGCCAGTTCTGCTGGCTGGGAATTCTCATCCCTGTGCTCACCCCTATTGTCATCCCTAGCCCAAGTTTTGCTCACTGAGGGGCTCCTCTGGGCAGAGACCCACTCATGGATCTGCTAAAGCTGGCAGCAGGCAGTTTATTTGCATTTCAGGGTGTGGATGGCAGAGAATGTGGCTGAAGTGAGGCACAGGGCAATGGGCTGTGGGTACACACAGCAGGTAACAGAATACCGACCCCACGTGGGGCATGTGGCATCCTCAGGACACATTGGGATGCTCATGGTCCAGGCTGTGCCTGCAGAGCACAGCTCGCTGTGGCAATGACTGTGTCCATGTCCCAGTCCACAGCCCTGGTGCACATCAGTCCAGTGGCCAGCCTCCTTCAGGCTGTCACCCTGCCAGATGTCACTCTCCAGGGCAGGCCCCTGGTCAGGGAGCCCTGGTCAACAGGAACTTTTTGCTGCAGGAGGAGCTACGACCATGGCTGCTGTGCCAGACCAGTCTCAGCACAACCATCCTGTGGCACAGGATCTAGGTGCCCAGAGCAGGGATCCCATCTGCTGGGACGCTGTTGGGAAACATTAGCCCCTGTATTGTGGGGGGCCATGGGGACAGGGACTGCCTCAGTGCTTGGGAGTCCCAGAGGCTGGCATACCTGGAGAGTGATGACCTGAGCACCAGCAAGGGAGCATCCCCCAAAATGAGGGGCCCAAGACAGGGACAGCACTGATGACACATTAACCAGGCAGAGGAGGCAGCCAGGGGTAGAGTCCAGACTGGTAGGAGGGAGCACTGAATACTGGGTCAAGGTCCGTGGGGACACCGGACACTGCTGGCACAGGATAGACTGTGCTGCAATGCTGGCAGCTGCTCAGGCAGCCTCCTCTACTCCTCTTCTTTGGGCTCAGCTCCTGGGGACAGCGCGGCGTGCCATGGCCACCAGGCTGCTTTGCGTTGCCCCTCCGGAGGAGCTGCTGCGGCCCCTGGCCGTGCCAGAGAGGCTGCTGCTCGGGCCAGGGCCCAGCAACGTGCCCCACCGCATCCGGGCTGCGGGCGCTCGCCAGCTCCTGGGCCACATGCACCCTGAAGTGCTGCAGGTGAGCTGCCCCAGCCCGGCTTTCCTTCCCTCCCCTCCTCTTCCTCACCCCCAGGAAGGGCTGGAACAGCTCTGCTGGGGCAAGAGGAGCAATAGCAGTGCTGGTCAGTGTCCTGCTGCTGTAGGTGATGGATGAGATCAAGGCAGGCATCCAGTACGCCTTCCAGACACACAACAAGCTGACCCTGGCCATCAGTGGCAGCGGCCATGGTGCCATGGAGGCCGCCCTCGTCAACCTGCTCGAGCAAGGTGACACCGTGCTGGTGGCCATCAACGGCATCTGGGGACAACGTGCTGCCGATATTGCCAGGAGGCTGGGTATGCTGGGGACAGGCAGGTGGTGTGGCAGGGCTCAGGGGACTGGGCTTGAAGGCAGGGTGCCCTGGTTTGTTGTCCCAATGCTGGCAGTGCTCAGTGACACGGCTTGCAAAACCAGAGAGCGCTCTGCCAGAGAGCACTCCAGGTTTTTCCAAGAATGATGCCCACTCCATTTATGGTGCTTTATGGCTTTTCCACTGGGCAAATCTGCAGGAGGCCAGACTCCAGCAGGTGGTTCTGCTCCTGGTTCACGCATGACCAATGGCCCCATGGAGCAGGTGAGTGCCCAGTGGGAAGCATGCCCAAACCTCACTCTCCTCTGCCCAAATTCCTCCCAGGAGCCAATGTCTATGAGCTGCTGAAGCCCCCAGGCAAGTACTTCGCTCCACAGGACATTGAGCAGGTGAGTGCTGCCCACTATGCAGAGGGCACAAGCTGACCTCCAGTGTGGTCACTTTCCCTCTGTGTCATGCAGGGCCTGGTGCAGCACAAACCTTTGGTGCTCTTCATCACCCACGGCGAGTCCTCCACAGGGGTGCTGCAGCCACTGGAGGGGCTGGGCGAGCTGTGCCACCGGTCAGTGCCTGGTGGGCACCCCAAGGTCACCACCGGGGATTTGGGCCTGAGGATTTATATGTGCTGGGCTCTTCTCTGGCTCCGTTGTGCTGGAAGCAGTTGGTGCCAGTGAGACACGCAGTTCCTGTGGGGACCAGGATGCCAGGGCTGCAGCCAGAGGTGTGGCAAGAAGAGGTGGCAGGAACACCAGGCTGAGCTCTGTCCTCCTACAGGTATGGCTGCCTGTTGCTTGTGGACGCAGTGGCATCGCTTGGGGGAGCCCCCATCTTCATGGACCAGCAGGGTAAGAGCCACACTGGGCAACCAGGGGACCAAGGGGCTCCTGCCTGGGACAGGGGCAGAGAGCAGTGGGATCAGGCCCTCGGCCTGCATTTTGGCTAGCAGCACTAGAAACTGGTCCAGCTGCATCCAGAGAGCCTGTTTCCCCTGGGGGACCATCAGCAGTGCCAGGGCCCTCCCAAAGCAGCCTGAACACAAGTGGGACCTGCCATGTGTACCATCCTCGTGCTTCCCACCCACCATTTGCAGCTAGGTCAGAGGGGTCAGCATTTTCCTGCTAGGAGCCTCTGATTCCTAAGGAGTTGTCTTCCCTCTTGGGCAGAGATCGATGTCCTGTACTCGGGGTCCCAGAAAGTCCTCAACACACCCCCTGGCAGTGCCCCCATCTCATTCAGTGAGCGAGCCAGGTAAGAGCAGCCCAGTCTCAGCAGGGTGGATGGGGCTGGTGGAGGCTGTCACCTCTCTCCTTTGCCAGTCACCTGCTTCTAGGGTGGGATGGGGCAGAGCCCATCCCACCCCTGGGCAGTGACTGGGAGCTTGAGGCAATTTCTGCATTCACTGTAGGGGAGTCCTGCCTCCCACAGGGCTGATCCCACCTTGGAGCTGGTGGGGTCAAGGTCCCACCTCTCCCCAGTACTCTGTTTCGCCAGGGAGAAGCTGCTGAGGAGGAAGACGAAGCCCCCATCCTTCTATCTGGACATGGGCTGCTTGGCAAACTACTGGGGCTGTGACGGGGAGCCGCGGAGGTGAGGGCGGGCTCCCTTCTCCCTCGTTCCAGACGGCTGCTGGCACTCCCCACCCAGCCTCTGTCCTGGCTCGGGGGCTGCCCGCCCTCCCCCTGCCTCCCCATCACCCTGGCTGCTGGTCACACCCTCTGCACTGGGTGGTGAGGAGGCGGGGATGCTGTGCCTCAGTTTCCCCTCAGTTTCCTTCAGGGGCTGCCGTGCTGCAGCCAAGCTGAACCCCCCTGGGTGCCCCTTGCAGGTACCACCACACGGCGCCCATCAACAGCTTCTTCAGCTTGCGGGAAGGCTTGGCCCTGCTGGCAGAAGTGGTGAGTGGCACCAGGCAGGCAGGGGAGCACCAGCAGTGCCCGTGGGGCTCGGAGGAGCCGTGGGTGCCAGGAGGTACCTGCCAGCAGCAGAGACCTCCTCTCCTCTCCTCTCCTCTATCATCTCCTCTATCCTCTCCTCTATCTTCTCCTCTATCCTCTCCTCATCCTCTCCTCTATCCATCCTCTCCTCTCCTCTCTGCCCACAGGGTCTGGAGAGCTCCTGGGAGCGACACCGGGCCAACTGCACCCAGCTGTGCCAGGGGCTGCTCGACATGGGGCTTGAGCTCTTTGTGGAGGAGGAGGTGGGTGCAGGGCAAGCCCACCAGCACCACCACAGAGTAGGGGCAGCGTGAGGGCACAACCCTGTGCAGCTGGAGATGTGCCTGGGCAGCTTTTGATGCCAGAGAAAAATCTCCCCGCTCCTTGATGCACTCTCCTGGCACGGTGCTGGGGTCACCAGGGGCCATGGGACTGAAACAGGTTTCTCTCTTCCTCAGAAGGCCAGACTTCCCACCATCACCACTGTCAGGGTGCCCGAGGGCTACAACTGGAAGGACATCACGGCCTTTCTGATGGACAAGCACGGCATGGAGATCGCTGGGGGCCTGGGCCCCACGGTGGGCAAGGTGGGCACAGTCCTTCTGTCCTGCTGCCCGTGGCTGGGCACAGAGCCCCGCATTCACTGCCCCTCTCTGGCTGCCACTGTGTGTGTCGCTGGCTGTGTCCCATTGCCCGGAGCAACGCATAGCAGCATAACCACACACAGTCACCTCCTAATTGAATAACCACGCACGTAATTAGCGGGGCAACACCTCTTTATAGGGAACGATGTGTTAAATGGGAGCAAGGGAGCTGCGCACAGCCACTCACACCTGGCTGTGTGTCCTGACAGCTGATGCACAGACACTCACCCTTCTCCTCCCAGGTCCTGCGCATCGGCCTCATGGGCTGCAACTCAACCAGTGGCAACGTGGAGCGAGTGCTTGGAGCCCTGCAAGATGCCCTTAAGCGCTGCCACCGCAGCCGGCTGTGAGCCTGGCACTGCCTCGCATGCCTGGCTGCAGGCAGCTGGCAGCAGAGGGACTCCACTGCCTCCCTGGGTGTGGGAATCCAGGGCTTCCCTCTGGCTGCCCTGGAGGGCCTGGGACCCCGGCAGGGGTCATGAACCCCCCTGTACAGAGCCCCCAGAGACACTGGCTGTGATCTCTGTCCATGGAAAAGAGTTTTCAATCTTACAGGATGAATTACAAGCTCTGAGTGTTTGATAAGAGTAATAATTAAGTGTGGCACGGGTGCAAAAGTAAAATTTTAGGTTTCTAGATTAGGGGTTCAGAGGGGACAAGATGGAGGAAATTGGGTGTGTCTTGTCCTTTTCCTCCTTCTTCATGCCCTCCATGTTTCACTGTGGTGTTGGCATTTTTCTGTTGGTTTAGGCTGGGGACACGCTGTTCAACGTAGGTGACAGATATTGGCACGTTATTGTAAATCCAGCACAGGTAGTTTCTGGTATTTAATGTTTGTAACATCCCACTGAGGGCAGAGCCCCACACGCTGCCCTGCAGGACAGAGCTGTGGCAGGGCAGCAGAACATGTTAGAGATAAACAGAATAAACAACCTTGAAACCAGCACAGACGAATTATGGCTTCTTCTTTGGCAATGGGGCTGAAAGACAGAGACTTTCTACAATCTCGGAATCACCAATACCCACAGATGCTGGCAGGAGCCACCACGGCAACATCCAGCAAGCCAAGGCACAGTGGAAAGGAGCTGGGATAGCAGGGCACGTGGAGGAGAGGGCTGTGCTCAGCAGATACGAGATGTGGTTCAAAACCAGCTCTCCCACCACCCCCCACACTGGCCTGGCCCCTCAGTTCTTCCCCTCCCCCTGGCCCAAGGGCATGGTGACCCTCAGCAAGCTGACAGAGGGTTGGATGCAGGGTCTGACCATAGGTCACTTCCCCTCCCATCACCAACAACCTCAGCCTTTCCCACCCTCTGGAGCAGAATGCCAGCCATCCCCCTCCAGATTCTGTACCATGGAGCACCCAGTGCCCAGGTCCACCAGGGCAGCCAAGAGTCTGTGGGTGCCCCACCACATGCAGCAGATGTGCTCTCTCCCCCGTACCACCTTTCCTCAATAAAATTACACAGCAGGACGCTGCTCCCTGGCCCTGTAGCTCTCCTTGCACCCCCCAGAGTTTCGAGACACCCCAATGGGGCAGCAGCAGGGTCCCACTCAGCTCTGCTGAGGGATTTCTTGACGGATCCTGGAGAGGAGCTGGGATGCTGCTGAGCAACGTGCACTGTCCTGGATCCGGTACACCTGAAACTAAAAGGGGTGGGCAGTGAGGGGAGAGGGCTCCCCACTCTGCTGGAGCTCCTTGCCCAGCACTGCCAGCCTCCCACAGCCTCCTCAGCATGCCAGAGGGCTTGGTGGAGCCAACTGCAGCTCATCCCAAGATTCCTAGCCAGGTGCTAGGGATCTCTAGTGCTGCTTCACGAGTTCTGCTGAAGGGCTGGGGTTACCTGGCTGAGCAGGATGTCAAAGTAGGCTGTGTCCCAGCAGGACCCATCCTCGGTGGGGAGCTGCAGGAGGGCTCGGGTTTCTGTGTCCGCCTGGCAGCTGCCACTGAACCCATGGAGGCCAAAGTGGAAGCGAAGGAAGCGTTGGGGGTCCCAGGCAAAGCTCTCCACTTTATGGTAGAGGGAGGCAAGGTCTGGGGCAGCTCCTTGGAAGAGGTTTTCCTCTGGGTTCAGGAAGTGGGGCAGGTGCTGGGTGGCCAGGCAGCGGAGAAGGATCACCAAGAGCCTGTAGACAGAGCCTTCCAGGTCCTGCCAGTCCTCCGGGGAGGGGAAGAGCTCTGTGCTCCACAGCAACACCATCTGTGAGGAGGGAGAGAAGAGCACAAGGCCTGATCCCAGGAAGGCTGTCCCTTCACACCCTGCAGGTCACCATGCAACCACTTGTGGGGCTGAATCCATGGAGGCTGGAGAAGATGATTCTTTTGTGAAGGCCAGATACATACATGTGCCCTTTTTTCTTAAAAAAACCTACAACCACCACCCCCAAAACATCAAAGAATGCGACGCAAAGCAAAGTACACAGGATTTGGGTTACTTGGAGCTGGAGCCGTTTTGTAAGCAGAAAACACCCTTGCATCCTTCTTGACCCTTGGCTTGGAGAGCCATCAAAAGGCAGACCACACCTAGATTGTGCCACCAAGTGCTGTCCTCAGCATGGCCAGTTGGCACGGCTCCAGGGTGTTGAAAAGAGGTTGGGTGGGGAGAGGAGGTTTTTTTCTCAGCAGAAATGCCACCTGCAGCCCTGTACAGGCCCATCCCAGCACACCAGGGCATGGGGCAGCCTTGCAGTGTGGCACAGGGATGCCATCCCGCCGAGACAGGCAGCCTGGGCCAGGGGATGATGTCCCAGCTCTGAATGCACTAAGTGTCTCCAGCTGGAGGTTGCTGGTTCAATCCAAGGAAGAGGATCAAAGCCCTCTATCCATGGCTGGCAGCAGCACACATCCTTCCCAGACACAGCCACGGGCTGCTACACCCCAAAGCCCTGCAGATCCTTGTCTGGGTTCTTGTGCAGGGGAGCAGCCTTGGCTCTGCTTGCCCAGAGAGCCACGGTCCCAAGCAGCAGAACCAACCTACCTTCAGGTGGTTGAACGTGAGGGCACCTGTCCCCCCGTGCCCTCCCCAGTCCTGGTCACGGAGCTGGTCGAGCAGGCGAAGGCTGTCCAGACGGGGCCCCTGCAGGGTGTCCACTCCTCGGAGCAGCTTCAGGATGGGAAGGTGAGTGGAGGAGCTGGAGGAAGAGAGTGGGGTCTGGTGGGAGGGGAGATGAAGCCCTGCATCCTCCCAGGATGGGGAGAGTATGCCTGCAGTGACATGACACGCGTGTGGTCCCAGCCAATGCAGCATCTTGGATCTGCAAGATCGCCCCCCGTGCTTGCCTCAGAACTCCAGAGGTGTGGAGCGAGATGGGAACACTGCTGAGCAGCTCCTGCCTTCCCAGGAGGTTCAAGAGTGGGGCAAAGTGGGGTTTTTTTCCCCTATGTGCAGTGGGGAGAGGAGGCTGGGTTGGTCCCCAGTGAGAGGCTGGACATCCAGCTGGACCACCTTGTTCCCAAAATAGATACGGACTGGTTCAGCTGGCTGCTCAGCCCCGCCATGAGGCTGGGTCATTGTGCTGGCAGGCAAGGTATGTCAGTGCAGGCCTGTTTTGTCCTGCAGCCCACCTTGGGAGGCAGTTCATCACCCTTCTGCTGCCAGGTGCCTGGGCCAAGCAGGGATCTGACAGCTCTGAAGCCCAAGCAGGGATCTGAGAGCTGCCACCCTCTGCACAGTTGGGGTGCATCTCCAGTGAATAATTTCAGGGGCCTCTTTCAGTTACACTCCCCCTCTTCCCCTGAGCTGTCCGAAAGTTGTCTGAAACTCCCCAACACAGGGAAGAGGGTTTGACCATCATAAGGAGGTGACTTCAACCCCTGCTGACTTGTCCCCGCACTGTCCCAGTCTCTTTTTGCCTACACCCAGCAGCGCTGCCAGCCAGGGGGGCATCCCTGGCGCAGGATCACCCCACAGCTGATCCTCTCACCTCCAGCAGTGGGGAGAGGCAGGGACAAAGTGAGCCTCTTCCATGGCCCTCCTGAGGCTGCCTTCAGGGAAGCCCCTGTCGCTCCGCAGCCTCTGGAGCTGCAGCGGCTCCTGCTGCCTCCTCACCACAGGAACAATGTCGAAGCGAATGGTCTTCCAGCTGCCACGGATCAGCAGGGAGAGCTCCATGGCATCTTCCCGCAGATTTTCAGCACTGATGTCACCTAGACGCAGAGGGTTTGGCAGCAGTGAGCAGGTTAGCACAGCCGGTCCCGCAGGCTGAACCAGGTCTGTGCTGCAGCAGCCGTGGCCGTGTCCCACCCCACTCGACTCATCCCTTTCCAGTGCTGCAGTCTGGGTGCAGTTCCCCAGGTAAAATCCCTCTCCCGGCCATGCTGGGGTGGTTTTACAGGAAGAAGCATCGCAGGGGTCAAGGTCAGGAACAGCAGGAAGTCTCAAGCAATCAAACTGAGCTGTGCTTCTGGGTGGCTGAAGAGTGCCAAGAAAAGCAATGCACTCCAAGAAAAATGGATCAGGAAAGGTTCGTTGCTTTCTGGGGGTGGAGGAAGATGAAGGTCACTGGCTTGGCCACAGAGGAAGGAGGGGATGGTGGACTTGCTGGGACCGGGTTAAGAGACTTTCAGACCCACTGGTACTCTCACATTACCCTTTCACCCTGGCTGAGCTTTCCTTCAAGAAGCACATTGGGAGATGAAAATGCATGAAGAAGCTTATGGAACAGCTATGGGCATCTCCCAGGGTCCCCTCCCACCAAGGCCCATGTGTTCACAGGGTCAGGTGCCCCAAGGTTCTGGTCCAGCTCTGATGCGCTCCCAGCTCACTCTCCAAACAGCCTCCTCCAGGGAGCAGGGGGCACTTGGAGGCAAGAGGTGGAGGGGAGAATGTGGTGAGGGTAAACCAAGCACACCAAGTCCTTGAGCAAACCCTACCTGGGGACTAACAGCAAGGCTGGTTGGACCCTGCACCTACCAAGAAGGGTGCCATCAGTCCCAGATGAAGATGCCTGAGGATGACTCTGATGCCCTGGGATGGCAGGGATCAGTTTGCATCTCCCCTTTCCTTAGCTGGGGGCAAAACCCATCCCAGCACACAGCAAGGTGCTCGCTAACCTGCCCCTGCAGCTTTTGGGTGGGCCACATGCCCAGGAACCTACGTCCCAGCACGTTTGCATAGGGATGACTGCCAAGCTGGGAAGCTGGGCAGGCACTGGAGGCAGCTCCTGGCGGGGAAGCACCCTGCCAGTGTACGCACCTGGCTGAAGCAGGAAGAGGCGTTGGCAGCGCACGATGGCTGAAACAAGGAGCTCTTTCAGGTGCTGGAGGATTTTGCCTGGAAGCAGGCACCTGGCACCACCTCCGTGCTCCATCACATCCACACCACCAGTCCAGTCCTCCAAATCAGTCCCTGGAGAGCACACTTCCAGCCAGCAGGCGTTCAGCTCTGCAGGATGCCCGCCCGGGGTGTCCCTGCTCCGGCATGCCAGCACACGCAGGGTGTCGCCGTCAATGCGCAGGGGCACCTCGAGAGTGACAGCGTCCTCAGAGGCACCGAGAGCAAACTCGAAGGCTTCCAGGTTCCTGGCGTAGTCCACGAGGAATCGGGGATCCCTGGCATGGACGCTCTCCAGCAGGGTGAGCAGGATGTCCTCGGCCCGCTGGAACTGCTCCACCCGCTGCCTCTCGCGGGACACGATCACCCCGAGGTAGCTGTGCCAGAGGGAAGTGTTGGCTTCCATGGCAGCTCTGCTACTGCCTTACGCTGCTCCGAGCAGCAGGAGAGGTGCGTGGGCAGGGAGGGCAGGGCTGGCCCGGCGTGGGGCGGGCGGAGGGAAGCAGAGCCGGGCGGTGACAAGCACCAAGTGCTGGGTGACTCCCAGGGAGAGGTACAGGGCAAACCCAGGGCGGGGGCTTGAGTCACACCGTGGCCCCTCTTCTGCCACTCCAGAAGGGTGACAGCGAGTGCTCAGCTGCCGGGTCATGCCAGGGGAACGCTGTGCTCTCCCACACCGCCCTTGGCATAGGGCGTAGGTGCCGGCAGCACCTCTCCCAGCCGGTGCCAGGTGAAGGACCCACTGTCCTCTCACCCCAGCCTAGTCCAGCCCTGCCCGCCCGGCTGCTCCCAGCCTGTGCGAGGCAGTGGAAGGGCTGCTGGATGCTGAGCCTGCCTTGCCGGTGCCCAGAGCAGCCCTGCAGGCCCGGTGCAAAAGCCCAGGCTCCATCCGGCTCCAGCTCTCGCAGGTGCGGCAGCCCCCGGCGCCCCTCTCTGAAGCCTCGCCCGCCTCGCTGCGCACACGGGCCCCGCCAGGTTGCGGGAGGATGGACCCGGGAGGACGCACAAAGTGGGGCTTTGGCCCCCAAAGCCGCCGTGGGGAGGCTCCGGGAGCGGCAGGGCCGGTCCGTGCGGTGCCTCAGCCCCGCCGCTGGCGCTGCCGTGCCCCGGCCCCGCTCCGCGCTCGGGGGCTCGGTGCATCCCGAGCTGCCTGCGCTCCTACCCTCAGACCTGCCCTCGCTTCTCGCCATCTCCCACAAATGCGGATTTCCCGGCACGGTATCTTTTTGGAGTGCCGTCACCTTCCAGAGGTCCCCGAGCTCCGCAGGCCTGGGGCCGCAGCTCAGTGATGATGCCTGCAGGGCTCTCGCAGCGGCACTCTGTGTTCAGCCGTCCCAGGCTTTCCTGCCAACTGATCCTGCCTTGCTCAGAGCAGGGAAGGCCATGGGGAAGCGGGGGGCCCCGAGACGAGCGTGGGGACCACTTGTGAGGAAGAGAGGGACAGTGCCATAGGGCTTATGGCTGCTCCTCCCATCTCCTGCGGCTCACGCGTACCCTTTTAAACAGCTCAGATGAGGTTTCTCAATCTCCCCAGGGGTTATTTCCAGTGCCTCCTTCAGTTCCCTGTTGCTGAGGAGCTGCCCTGAAGGTAGGAGTCTGTCCCTCATGTTCATTAACCCTTCTGCCAGCCAACTGAAGGAGTTCTGCCTTCCAAGGGTCAGAGCTTCCACCTGCAGAGCATCCTTGAGCAGCTGCAGTCCCAGTCATTAAGCCTGCACTGGGCTTCTCACTACCAGGAGGCTGCAGGTACTCTGAGCTGGGGGGTCTCAGCCAGATTTTAAACCCTGACAGGAGTGGTGGGCTCTGTATTTCCTTCCCTGAGCCCTGTGCTTCAGGTTTCAGCCCATCTGAGCACGGGATGCTCAGTCCCCCACACCAGTGGCTGTCTCAACCGGAGTGGGGCAGGTCTTGCCCTCCTCCATCATGTGGGGAAGACAAGCTGGCTGGTGTGCCAGAGAAGGACCAAAAGCAGCAGACCCACATCAGAATGTCTTGGGCTCATCCTGAAGAATGCTGAACCCAAGCCAGACAAGACAGATTACTGCTTCATGCCCTGGTGTGGGAAAAAGAGGGCAGAGAGATGCAGGCAACCATGTTTCTGGAGGTGGTGGGGCATGGCTCAGTGCTGGCAGGGTTGCAGTGTGTCCATCATTCTGTCATAGATGGAGTCCCTGCCTCAGCAAGCAGCCAGGACATTCCTTCTGTCCGTGCCTGGCGGAGGCTGTGGGCATCGTGCAGAAGCTGAATTGAGAGCCAGGAGTGGTTCTATAGGAAGGTAAGGCTGGGCAGGGCAGGGAAACATGCCTGTCCCTCCAGATGACTTGGTGCTAGTGGGGTAACCCTGTCCTCTTGTCACAGTGCTGGCTGAGCCCACAGTGTGACCTGACATCCTGCTGCCAGAGCTCTGATGCAGGGAAGAGCCAGTGTGATGTGATCCCCTCAGCTCATCTCTGCACCTCTGGGTGCCACAATCAAGAGGTTGGTGCTGCAAATGCTGCCTTCCTGTGGGCTAGGACCTCCCCTTTTCACCTTTTCCCCTTTTCCTCTTTTCCCCTTTCCTCCTTCTGCCTTTCCCTTCCTCCTTTCTTCCTCTTTTCCTCCTTCCTGTTCTTCACCCTGTTTTTCTCCTTTCCTATTCTCCTTTCCTCTCTCACTTCCTCTCCCCTCCTCATTCTCTCCTCTCTCCCATGGGCAAGGGGCCAGGGGCAGGCCCTGGAGGAGCATTTTCCTGGCTGCTGCCAGGCACAGGCAGCACAGTGAGTGACCCTGCTGCAGGCACCATGTGAGAAGGAGGAGTGATGCCGGGCAGTGGCACATCTGGTGACAAAGCTGGCCAGCCAGAAGAGGTGGGAGCAGCTGGAGGTGCTGCCAGATGCCGAGCAGGGCTCTGAGCAGGATGGTGTACATCAGGTGGTGAGCACAGAAGCTCCAACCCACACAGGTGAGTGGCTGAGCCCTGGCTGGAGCCGTGCTGCGTGGGATGAGCCATGGGGCAGGGACACTGCATGGCTGGGCATTTGGGGCAGCACCTGGACACTCAACCCCACAATCAGCCCAAGCTGAGCACAGCTCCACTGGCCCAAAAATAGCAGGAAAAACTTCCTAGTGGGAAGGTCAGTTAGGCTATGGAAGACATGGCTGGAGTGCAGAGTGTCTGGGCAAGTCACTGGTGGTGGGCTGGTGGCGAGTGCCCTGGCACTGGCAGAGAGTTTGGCCTGAACGAGCTAATCACTGTTTCCATCTCGCTGCTTTACAGTTCCAAGAATTTTTGATCTGTTAGAAACAGGAGAAAGAAAACAACCCCAAGCTGAAGGGCAAGTACAAGCAAGAGAGGGGAAAAAAACCTGGGGGCATGGGAGCACCTGGCACAGCAGAGGTGGGCGGGGAGCTGCAATGAGCCCCCAGTGTCCCTCACTCAGCTGCAGGGCTGTGCACTGTGACTGCTGCACGCCAGACCCTTCCAGATGCCATCAGCACCCAGCAGAAAGATTTTGGGGTGCTGAGCTGGTGGGTTGAGGAGCTGGCAGGCACAGGGGCACTGGGATGAGGGAGGGAGGTTATGCTCTGAACCAGCACCAGCACTTCTGCACCCCACGAGCCCCCAGAGTGGCATGACCCCCAACAAAAGGGCTGGGATAGGGAGGGGGGACAAAGGCAGGGAAGGTAGAGAGGAAGAGGGAGTAATTTAACATGACAGGCTGTTTATTTTGGCAAAAAGGGTCTCTTTTCAACAGATTTCAAAGCTCAGCCCTGGGGCTTGGGGGGGGACCACACAGAGGGGTGGGAGATGAGGGGTGCAAGATGGGGGGGTTCAGTGGGGCACCCAGACTGAGAGGGAGGGAGAAGAATGCCCTGTCTGTTCCTGCCTGGGGCACAGGCAGGTTTTCAAGCCCTGGCTGTGCTTGCACGCTGCAGCAGCGGGGTGTCCCCATGGGTGCCCACGTTCCCGCACGCACACGCTTGCCTGCATGCACACACACACATTCGCACGCTCCCCCTGCCCCTGCTCCTTCCTCCAGGCCAGGGCTCAGCTGGAGTCTTGGCTTCCCCCAGTGACATTTCAAAATAGGCTGTTTATTAAAATTTAAAAAAAAAAATTAAAAAAAAAAAACAACCGCAGGGTGGGGGGGATTGCTAGGAAAGAAATAATTATTATAATCACATTAAGAGCTTTGGCTGTAAAACTCTTGTGAGAGCACAGGGAAGGAGCTGGGGCTGCTCTCTGCAGGGAGTACAGGGGGCGGTTTTCCTGCCTTGTGCTCTTTTATTTTCCAGTCCTGATCCAACAACACCTCCCCCCCTCCCCTTTTCCTCCCCTTTATCCTGGGAAATGAAAACAATTTATTTAATGATGGATCATCCCTTTCTCTGGTCACTGACCTTCTGGGTGAATTTCTGCTGAGCTCGGTGGAAAACTCGAGGCTGGGTTGTGGATCCCATCTGTGGATGGGGGAGGGGGGGAGCTCACCCTTATCCTTCCCAAAATCCACAGCAACAATCCTGGGGAGCAGGACAGGGCTGGCAGAGAGGGTCCCCACCAGGAAGCCCAGAAGCAGACTTTGCTAAGGGCACTATCCCTGCAGACCGGGGGCTTTGGGGGCAGATATGGGGGCCCCAGAGCCTTCTCTCACCCTGATGGGTTTTTGGTATTTACTTGTTCTACTCTGAGGCTGGGGTGGGCTGGGGTTGCAGTGCTGAGGTGGGAGTGGGCAATGGAGAAGTGATCTCCACCCTGCCAACAGCCCTTGCTGCCCAGCAGGGTTTCTCTGGCTCAGGGTGTCTGTGGGAAGTGATTTTGGGAGCTGCTCAGGGACAGTGTGGGGCAGTGTGGGGCTCCCAGCAGCAGCAGCCAGCCGTGTTTTCCTGTGTATTCCCGTGTATTCCTGTGTATTCCCGTGTATTGCCGTGTATTCCTGTATACTCCTGTGTATTCCCGTGTATTCCCGTGTTTTCCCATGAACTCCCGTGTATTCCTGTATACTCCCGTGTATTCCTGTGTATTCTTGTGTATTCCTGTATACTCCCGTGTATCCCCGTGTATTCTTGTGTATTCCTGTATACTCCTGTGTATTCCCATGTTTTCCTGTGTATTCCCGTGTATTGCCATGTATTCCTGTATACTCCCATGTATTCCCATGTATTCTTGTGTATTCCCGTGTATTCCTGTGTACTCCTGTGTATTCCCATGTTTTCCTGTGTATTCCCATGTATTCCTGTATACTCCCATGTATTCCCATGTATTCTTGTGTATTCCCGTGTATTCCTGTGTACTCCTGTGTATTCCCATGTATTCCTGTGTGTTCCCACGTATTGCCATGTATTGCTGTGTATTCCCATGTATTCCCGTGCATTCCCATTTATTCCCCTGTATTCCCGTGTACTCCCGTGTACTCCCGGTATTGCCGTGCATTCCCTGTATTCCTGTGTATTTCCGTGTATTCCCGTGTATTGCCATGTATTCCCGTGTATTCCCGTGTAC